TCAGGCGAGTCGTGGCGGACCTGACGTGGCGGTGACGGGTCAGGCGAGCTTTTATTTTTCTTCCGCTTTGTCACTTCTGAACTGGAAACAGAAATCAAACCACAGGTTTACAGAACAGCCAGTGGGTCTCATGGGTGAAAACAGCTCTAGTCACTGTCTCACATTCAGTTCTCGGTTTCACAGGTTAATGCCCAATTTGCCACCCCCAGCCTGTCACTGCTGCCTCACAAGCTTTAGCCACACTCTTACCTTCCGGCCCTCAAAACACCAAGCTGGAACCTGGCTCATGCCAAAACTTTTAACAGCCTCGCTTTGCAATCCCACAGTACTCCTGAGGGCACTGAAACCACCTAGCGGAGTTACTCTACCCCGTTCATCAAGTCATCTCCTACTAATTAAATACACCAGACCAGTCTCTAAAGGTCCAAGGGTGGCATTCAAAAAAGGAGGAGTAATGTAACTTTAGCATCCTTGCTCTTTTCCACCTTTCCCCAGCTGCACCCATGCTCTCCTGGTATCTTCCATGAGCAGGGAACAATTCCACACACTCTGTATCAAAAGTGATGGTGCATTATTATTGCGTACTCTGTCGGCTGCTGCTTTTTCCCCAGAGGTGAGAGAATGTAATCAGCAGTAGAGAACGCAATCCCCATCCAGCCCTGACTGATCTCAAAAAATGTCATGAGGCTTTACTGAGACGTGCCTGGAGACCCCAGGACAGCAAGGGCTATACTGAAAACAAAGTACAAAGGAGGACCAGAACTGATGAAAGCCTCCTACCTTGTTAAGGACTTGGCAGTCAGAGACCGGTCTGAGCTTCTGGAATCTTCATCCTGTTCTAAAGAAAAAGTAGAAAATTACCACTTCGATTCCCCCCCTTAGATCAGAGCATAGCCTAGAGCTTATTGGGCCGTGAGCAGCTAAAGCATCTTCACTGAGGACATTTCACTTTTCAGCTTGCAAAGGTGAATTGCTCGGGAGAGGAGGATGGGAGGCCGGGCCACATTTGCTCTGGGGAAAATCAGCCAGGGCTGCCTGCACGGATCAGAAACACCCGTCACACCACTGACAGCCCCCTGGCCACTGCAGAGCACCTCGCTACTGCACTCACGCAAGACCAGGCACCTGGAGCTACGCTTTCATTCCCAACTCCACCCGTCCCCACGACGAATGGTGGGTCCTGTCATCATCATCCGCTAGCTCTGCTGTTTCCCGGGGCACACCCAGTCTTGAAACCTAGCTCGTTTCCTCTCCCCTTCTGCTGCGGGTCTCCCTTCTTGCAACATCCCTGCTGAAGCAAACCTCCCCTCTTTGGTCAAATCCCTATTTGTCCCACACCTGCCTTCCACAAGACGGGATCTGTAATGCAAACGGGGAAGAAAAACTCAACAATGCTTTAGCTCCACCCAGCCGTGGCTCTCTCATCTTCCCTAGGTCTGTCCTTCAAGCACTTCTTTGGGCCAGAGACTTGCCGTACGTTTAGTGCACCGTATCAAGCTGAGCACCTTACTGCTGGGAGATCCACCACCTCCCCCCAGCCCCGTCGCGGGCGGCCACGGCACGCACGGACCTCCTAAAAGCTTCCACTTGCTGTTCATTCGGAATTCTTCCATCAGCTTCACTTCGTCCGGGCGCTCGTCGATGAATTCTGCCACCTGAAAGCATCGCGCCAGGGTTACAACGCTCCGAAACCACGGTTTTCCACCTCAACACTCACACAGCAGGGCTGGAAACCTCCTTTATTTGGGCCGCACAGACTTTTGGTGCGCCGATCTCAAAACCCGTTTCCAACATCGCTGCCCTTTGCGTTGGTCACTAATTTTCCCCCTAGCTCCAGAACGGGAAACACCCCACCTTGGCTCCGGCAACTGCCACGGACGCCCCTAAGGCGAGAGCCCCGGGCCGGGCTGCGGGAAGGGGCAGCCTCCACATCCCCTTCGCCTCCCCACCCCCCGGCGGGGCTTCGTCCGGCACGACACGGCCGCCCGCCCGGACCCACCACGGGCTCGTCGCCTTCATCATCCTCCTCCTCGTCGCGCTCGGGGCCGTCGGCGGCGCCCAGGCTGCTCCAGCTCACGTCGTCGTCCACGATGCGCAGCCTGCGGGCGAGAGGCGG